CCTAGAACTATAATGAAGGAGTCCGGATAACGCTGCTCTGTGTGTGTGATCTGATCAGCCAACAGTTCTAGCGCCGCGCGTCAGGAGGAATGTACACACTCACCAAAATAAACTAGGAAAACTCCCATGGTGAATAAAAAGGCTTACAGTTAATATAGAGTGTAGGGCTGTCACGATTATGAAATTTGGCTGACGATTGTCTAAAAATAGTCACGGTTATTGCGATTAATTGACTGTTTTAGGGCTTTGGCGATTATGACGATTATGCCTATTATCATGATTAATTGTCTGTTTTTATGGCTTTCATTATATAATTGTGATTAATTTAAGGGATCAGTAAATAATTATGATGTTATCTTTTAATCTTTTTGAGTTATTATTTTGCAGTGTAAGATTACATAGAGTATTCCAAATTCTAAGAATCGGCCAATACCGATCCAACACCAGCGCTATTTTTTTTCTACACCACTACAGAATATCAATACTGTCGTTTTGTAAGCTAGTTTGTCATTGTATCTTACTGATTTATTGTTGCTGTGCTTTTTAATTAAGAATAACAAAGAATTCATCTTTTGTTTTAGTCTTAAAAAAAATTTGTAGTAATTGTGTAGAATAGATGTGTAAGCAAAACAGTGACAAGATCGCAAATTCGAAAGTGAAAGCATCCGTCAACATCTGTCAACACAGCAAAAGAGAAACTCCCATTCACAAAATTCAAATCACAAATAATACTACTGATGATAAAGAACGCTTACATTCAATACATTCATGAATATAAAATAGAAATCATGAGAAAAAGAAAGGCTACTAATAATCTTTCTTTTTGTGATAATTCCTTCCTTCCTTAAACTTAAAAGTATTATAATGGGAATATATCATCTTGGAGAGAGAGTTTTATGCTGACTGTCATAACTGAATAAATAAATAAATATATTGCGCCCAAATCATGTGCTCGTGCGACCATCTGAGAAAGTTAGTTGCAAAAAAGAGCAACCAGTGGGAAGAATGAGTCTGGAGCCCTGTATTGGCTATACAGTGCATGAAAAGCAAACTGGTGCTCTTCTGTTTCGTTTGGTGTATGACTCCCCCTTGTCTCGTATAAAAAGCACAATATCAAACAATAGATCAAATAATCGCGATTAGACTTATTTAATTATCGCGACAGGCCTAATAAAAAGAGCTTTCCAAATTTGGGCAGCAAATCTTCTTTAAAACGGTCACGTCTGTACACCAGCCTTCATTGATATAAAAACATAATCCACCGCCTCTCATTTTCCCCGACGACTCCGTGACACGGTCCGCTCTGAACAGCTGGAAGCCCGTTAGATGAAGTGCGCTGTCCGGGATAGCTCCGTTCAGCCAGGTTTCCGTGAAGCAAAGCGCGGCAGAGTTTAAAAAGTCCTTGTTTGTGTGGGTGAGGAGTCGTAGTTCGTCTGATTTATTTGCCAGGGAGCGGAGATTTGCCAGATGAATGCTCGGCAGTGGAGTCCTAAAACTGCGCTGTCGGAATTTTCCCTCGCCTGGAGCGCTTTTATAGTATCGCAGCTCCTCCGACTAAAATGTCCAGTAAAACATCTGAATTCTCAAATGTCGGCAGAAAGTTATTTGGTGTGCTATTTCTGATGTCCAGGACTTAGTTTCTAGTAAAGCTTATCGGGAAAAAGTTGCTTAAGACAGGACAAACAAACAAAAAAGTACAAGTGCCAAGGAGGGACAAACCATGGCTGCCATCTGCTGCGCCACCATCAGAATAAATTACACAACATTTCACCACAGAAATATTTATAAAGACAATAGCTTTAGAAAGATATTGATTTAAGACGAAAATGTTTTAAAATCTTACCAGATTGTTAGTTATCTTAATCCATTACAGTGTACAAAACAATCATAGCAAAATGGCAGCAGCTGCGTTTGTATGAAACGAGAGAGCGAGCCCATGATACCAGGATGACAATTAAATAATTGTACACAATTTTGAATCGAGTTTTAATATTTTATTAGCTAAACAAACGCAAAGCTTCCACCAAGAAAAAACTGTTCCTAGCAAGAGTATAGCGCTGACTTCAGTTACCCGGATGAGTAGGACTGCACGATATATCGTTTCAGCATCGATATCACGATGTGCGCACCTGCGCCTATCGCAGGATATGCGATGTTTAGTATAGGCTACTGATCATTATATTTATACTGATTGTTTAACTTTACTCACACACAGACACGGTGTCTACACCGGACGTGACAGCTGTACAGAGATACCCATTTTAAATACATTTAGTAGCAGAGCTACTGCACGCGATTTTCAGTGCTGGAAATCCATTTATCCTTTGTTGAAACTTCATCGTGGAGAGCGCAGGTCACGATTGCTTAGCAACGGCAGACGCCACAAAAGCGCAAGCTCCCGAGTGCTTTGGAAAGAAGGAGAAAGCGGCGTGACTGGCGTTTTCCCACGCGTTTTAGGCGCGACATGTGAATGGCCCCAAAGTCTGTCTACACTGGACGCGACAAAGCGACCGTTGCCAATCATTTGAACTTTGTGTCAGTACGTCATATAGCGAGCGCGGCATCAGTTTACTGTCGGGATTTGTCGTGCCACACCGCTTCCAGTGTAGTCAGTCACACAGCATCACTGATTATAATGGGTTCATTGCATTTTGTCACATCACACCGCCGGTGCAGACATGGTGAGAGCCACGCAGATGCACGTGAACACTGATTTCTGTTCACTTCTGCGTCTATTTGTGCCTGAAATACTGTGCTCTGCAAATATCCTTGTAAACGCAGTTGCTTATGGCTTAGGTGAAGGGAAACAATTGAGAAAGAAATTGGATGTGTGTAACAGTAGCCTATATTGGTTTACAGCAGTTTAATGTTCCTGAGGCTTTCTGTGTTATGAATGTTAATCAGACAACAAAACACAATGAAGAAAGCAGTGTGGTAGCTTTAACACAGATTTATTAGATTTAATTTATACAGTGAAGACTATGCAGTGTTATTTTACATTTGATTATTCAATTTCTGTACCTGAATACTGTTAGACTTACCTGAAAAATATAAAGCACTTCTTATTTCATTTGTGTCTTTGTTCTGTTATATTTATCTATGCTTGTAATTTGTTTATTTCCTATGCTGATTTACTCGCCTACAAAATCCCCCCAATCAATATTTTTTTTCCAAATAAACTATTCAAGTCATGTGGTGATTTTTGTTTTTTCATATCGCAATATATAAATCGCAGAAAAATAAAATATCGCAATGTGAGTTTTTTCCAATATCGTGCAGCCCTACGGATGAGCCTTTGTTATCAGCTTTTACCGGTTGTTATCGACCAATCAGAATCAAGTATTCCACAGAGCCGTGTAATAATGTCCTATAACTGTATGTATTTTTTATGTCCGAGACAAATTTCCCCATGGGACAAATAAAGTAATCTTGAACAACTGTAGGCAGTACATTCTTTTTCTATTTAGTTCCCAAACTCTGGTCTTTCTAGCATTGTACGGAAGGCAGACACACTGTCAGTTTAAATCTAGATTAAAAATCCATCTCTTTAACCTAGAATACCCATAACACAATATCACATTTCTATATATAAAATCCCTTAAAGGATTTGTAAATTGCATTAATTAGGTCAACTGGAACTGGGAACACTTCCCATAACACCCTATGTGTTTGTTACATGCTAACACATCCTAATGCTAACACAACATCTTCAAGCAATAGGAGCTGAATGCAAAAAAGTCTGCAATCAATATCACACCGTGTTCATTCATTTGGCCAGAGGAGAACTTGTCCCACGACTGAGACTGGTTTCTCCTAAGGTTTTTCTGCCACATGTTGGAGTTTGGGCTCCTTGCCAGTGTTGTCTCTGGTTTGCTTAGTAGGAGATTAAAAGGACACTTAATATTCAGTAATACAGCATTATCAAAATGACTGTAATTGTGCACTATTAAAACAAAAGGTTATTTTCCTAATTAATACTGATATGCTTCTATGCTTCTTTGGTAATTGTCCAATCAGACTTAGAACCTTAATATGTCTAAGTAATGAGAGATTGGTATTTGAGAAATTGTATTTGTTAAACTTCAGAGGTGGTGCACTTGTTTATGTTGTGCACAGTGTATCTTTCAATTGAACATGGAGCAACACATTTTGTTTGAAAAGTAGTTTGTTGTGCTTAAAAATAGGGGCCTTTTACTGCAGTCCATGTCCATTGTGACCAGCATATTATGCAGAATTGTTCCTTTTGTGTCGAGTCATATGGGTTGGAAAGACATAAGAATGAGTAAAAGACCATTTTCTTTTTTAAGGTGCATTATGTCTGCTTTCAGGCATGATTTACATGTTGGCTCAAAAATGCTGGCATGTAGAGATCCCAATGAAGAGCAAAACTATGAACTTTATTCCTTGAAAAAAAGGCAATAACAAATAAGAATGGATTTTTTTTAGATTGCACTCACCCTCTTTGAGTCGATCTCCCTCTGCTTTAGTTTTTTTTTGTCTCTCAGATCCAGCGAGATCCACCAAGTGCAATTTGGAGACCATGACATCACTCCTTGACAAACAAATTGCAATTTAAATGAAACAACCATTTACAATTATTCTACAGTTATAGACAAACATTTTACAGTTTTATAAAGGTCAAGCAAAATTTTTTTTTAACAATTTATCAATTTTAACAAATGAATTTCTTTCATTAGCACCTCATTGCATCAAAAATGCTTAGCAGTTTTATTGTAAACATTTTTCAGTCACAAACAACTGCATATGTCCACTCTTAATATACAACATGACAAATTATACAGGTACATCTCAAAAAATTTGAATATCATGAAAAAGGACAATATTTTTTGTCACTCATTTCAGAAAGTGAAACCCATAAATTATATAGATTCATTACACAGTGTGAAATATTTCAAGCCTTTATTTCTTGAAAGTTTGATGACTATGGCTTACAGATAATGAAAACCCAAAATTCAGTGTCTCAGAAAATTAGAATATTGTGAAAAAGTTCAATATTGGAAAGTCATGGTGTCACACCCTAATCAGCTAATTACCTCAAAACACCTGCAAAGGTTTCCTGAGCCTTTAAATGGTCTCTCAGTCTGTGTCAGTAGGCTACACAATCATGGGGAAGACTGCTGACTTGACAGATGTCCAGAAGACAGTCATTGACACCCTCCACAAGGAGGGTAAGCCACAAAAGTTCATTGCTAAAGAAGCTGGTTGTTCACAGAGTGCTGTATCCAAGCATATTCATAGAAAGCTGAGTGGAAGGAAAAAGTGTGCTAGGAAAAGGTGCACCAGCAAAAGGGATGACCGCAACCTTCAGAGGATTGTCAGGCAAAATCCATTCAAGAATTTGGGGGAGCTTCACAAGGAGTGGACTGAGGCTGGCGTCAGCGCATCAAGAGCCACTACGCACAGACGAATCCTAGACATGGGCTACAAATGTCGCATTCCTCGTGTCAAGCCACTCCTGAACCAGAGAGAACGTCAGAAGCGTCTTACCTGGGCTGTGGAGAAAAAGAACTGGACTGTTGCTCAGTGGTCCAAAGTCCTCTTTTCAGATGAAAGTAAATTTTGCATTTCATTTGGAAATCAAGGGCTGGAGTCTGGAGGAAGACTGGAGAGGCACAGAATCCAAGCTGCTTGAAGTCCGGTGTGAAGTCAGTGATGATATGGGGTGATGTGACGTCTGCTGGTGTTGGTCCATTGTGTTTTATCAAGTCCAAAGTCAATGCAGCCGTCTACCAGGAGATTTTGGAGCACTTTATGCTTCCATCTGCTGACAAGCTTTATGGCCCCAAATTCTTGCTGGTGCACCTTTTCCTACCACACCTTTTCCTTCCACTCAACTTTCTATGAATATGCTTGGATACAGCACTCTGTGAACAACCAGCTTCTTTAGCAATGAACTTTTGTGGCTTACCCTCCTTGTGGAGGGTGTCAATGACTGTCTTCTGGACATCTGTCAAGTCAGCAGTCTTCCCCATGATTGTGTAGCCTACTGACCCAGACTGAGAGACCATTTAAAGGCTCAGGAAACTTTTGCAGGTGTTTTGAGGTAATTAGCTGATTAGGGTGTGACACCATGACTTTCCAATATTGAACTTTTTCACAATATTCTAATTTTCTGAGACACTGAATTTTGGGTTTTCATTATCTGTATGCCATAATCATCAAAATTTCAAGAAATAAAGGCTTGAAATATTTCACTCTATGTGTAAGGAATCTATATAATTTATGGGTTTCACTTTCTGAAATGAGAGACAAAAAATATTTACCTTTTTCATGATATTCTAATTTTTTTAGATGTACCTGTACACTGCTTACTCCATTTCCCCTATTAAATACTTCTTTTTATATGTAAAAAGAAGCCTTATAACAGCCAACTCAATTTATCGAGTTTCCAAACAACCATTTTAAGTTAATATCTTAGTTTAAAAGCATGTGCTCTTGCATTTACATACTTGTCTCCTTTGCGTCGCTGCTCCAGTGATATGGTAAAGATGGCATGTGAGCGAGATGAGGCTGCATTCATGGCTGTTGAACCCACTGTTCGTGCAGAGTTTCCCAACTCAAGACAACCCACCATCTCGTGAGCAGTGAACACTTCCTTTTCTGTCAGCCCAACAATCTAGACAATAAAAACAAAAACCGAAAGACATCAACAGTCATAGAGGGCATATGAAATTTAAGGTAGTCAGAGCCGATAGCCTTGTGGGCAGTACTCCAGCGGACAGTGCAGTTGTGATGCATGCGTAGTAGCAAAACCTTGCATGAATGATGCCATTGTTGTTTACAACAGAGAGGGAGGACTAGGGCTGGGCGATAAATGAATAACGTTAATTATTGCGCAATATAAATTTCCTCAATAAACGATAACAAGGTCAATACATTTTCGATATAATTTTTGAGGAAAAGGCGGAGTGACAGAGCGCAACTGATTTGACTGTTTTATCCGCTCGGATCAAAGTTTAAACGGCGGCGCAGCGCAAGCTTCACTAGAGCAGATGCGTTACTTGCTGATGAGTGTCGATCAAACGGTGCTGTGAGATCCAGTGTGAAGCGCTTGCATTCAGCGAAGAACACAAATAACTGTTTACAACTGCGCTGACAAACAGGAAAAACACTGTGCGCAACGATACAGTTAGAAGACTATCTACAAATTGCCATCATTTATCATAGATTTACTGTAGTAGCACTAACTGCACCATGGTATTGTGTCAGAAATGTGGGTATTTGTGTCGAATTTATATTATTAACGTAGACATGTTTTAAATGTATTGAAGGAGGAGTAATGGAATTTATATTAATTATAATTACAGTATTTTTTTGTGATTAAGCTATAGCGTTTATGCATTTATACAAAATTTATTTAGACTACTTACTAGGGCTGTGCAATATATCGAAATTATCGAAATATCGCAAATATACATATCGCAATATGCATATCGCTATGGTTTGCAATATATGGGGCCATGAACAAAACACAAAGAGAAAATAACTCACTGCTCTTACCTAAATAACTTTTATAGCTTAAACAAGAATCAGTGCATATTGAATTCATAGAGTAAATACTAAGCAGTGTTGTATTTTTTCTTTTTATTATTCAGTTCCTAAACTTGTTCAAATTAAATTTTTATGTAATGCTAGACTAAAACACTTTCAGTGTTTTGTTGAAGTACGGTTCACTTTCAGAAGTTGTTGTAGGGGTGCTTTCTTCTCACAAAAAGTGAAACATGTATGCTAGTTATATTAGAATCAGAATCAGAATGAGCTTTACTCACCACTTAAGTGTGCGCAAACACAAGGAATTTATTAGAAGGTGCTCCTAAATTTTTCACAAGTGCTCCTAAAAAGAAAAATAAGCATAGAGCCCTGCATACATATATATACACATACATATATACACATACATATATACACGCATATATATATATTAGGCTATTATATAGTATTATAATAGCATTATATAGTGGTTCAACTAATTATATTTTTTGAGTCACAGATCGGACTATTTTTTTTTCAGATAAGAAAAAAAACATTTAAAGCACAGAATGACAATGCCGTGATGGGTTTTTGACATAGGCTAATTTTATGTGTAGGCCTATGTATACGCAACTCTGTATTTCCGCTAGAGCCCGACCGATATGGGTTTTTTTGGGCCGATACCGATATTAGGGAGTTAAAAAACGAAATTCGTTCAACGAAACGAAAACGATATTCTTTGTGTATATTATAGTACAATACCAGTCAAAAGTTTGGACACTTTCCCATTCGTGTGTCCAAACATTTGACTGGTACTATATATAGAATACAGTATATACATAAACA